ATTCTAGATATGTAGATGATACTTTTATAGTATGGGGTGGTACTCTTGACAATCTACATTCCTTTCTAGATTATCTTAATCAATTACACCACACCATTAAATTTACTTTGGAGATTCAAGATGACTCAAACAGCTTAAATTTCTTAGATTTAACTTTAACATTAAACAATAGTACGATTGTTCTTGATATTTATAGAAAGCCAACTCATACTGGTACAATTATACCAGCAGAATCACATCATCCTATCCAGCACAAAATGGCAGCATTTTACAGTTACATTAATCGTTTAATATCATTACCATTAACTATAACATCATTTAATAAAGAATTAGAGATTATTAAACAAATAGCTATAAACAATGGTTATTCCACTAACCTAGTGAATAAAATTTTACACAAAAAGACAAATAGGATGCTAGAACACCAAGTATATACACAACATTCTAATGAAATAATGGAACAAAAACCTTATCGTTCATTAACATATATAGGTGAACTTTCCTATAAGATTGCAAAAGTCTTTGATGACTATATAAATATCTCATTTAAAACTGCCTCAAATTTAGGACTGACTTTCTTGAATAACAAGGACAAACGTAACTCACTTGAGTATAGCGGAGTGTATAAGTTGAGCTGCCATACCTGCAATGCATGTTACATCGGTAGAACCTTTAGATCCTTCAACATTAGACTAAGAGAACATCTTAGATATATAGAACGCCCAACATCAGGTCAATCACATTTCTCCCAACATATCCATCGAACAAACCACATCTTTGATCCACAAACAGACTTCACAATCCTTCATACTTGTAATAAAGGCTCCTTATTAAATAACCTAGAACATTTAGAAATTCTAAAATCATTAAAAAATCACACAGAAGTTACACTAAATGCACAATTAGAACTGGAATACACACCAGTATACTCAGTATTAATATAAAAAATTTTATATACATAATATTACCTGATCCCACTCCATTTCTTGTTCCTACAGCAAACCTATAGAATTGTTGCCACAAACTTCAACTTTTCATATTAGTTTTCCATATATTATCCTAATCATTACATATTTTTCAGAAGTAACTTCAATATTATGGTCAAACAACATTTATTTCAGAATTCCATATATAATCAGATGCATTTGATACACCTCTTAGATCATTTAAATCTTCTACTTCAAAATTAAAATCGGGCCCCTTGGATCTAGTTCTTTGTTCACAGAATTTCTTTAACATTTTAACATACTACCAGAAACAATTTTTCCTAAAACTACATTAAATATCAGTATTGAACTGGTATGGTACCTCAACTTATTTAACCCACAATTATTATTACATTCCATCTGGTTCCGAAATATACTCATCTTACAAAAAAATTTGATTTCAAACTCAACACGTGTTTTGAGTATCATCAAAAATAACACGTTAATCGTTCAGACTAGCTGTATTAATTGAATACATCTTTACTAATTACAATTATACACAAATTTACATTTCAAATAGAAATATTAATTTTCACAAACAGCTATTAATTGAAAAAAATTTTAAAGTGTTACTTAAAACAATTGTACAAACTCACCATTGTCCATGTAGGTGTGAGGAATATCTGTTCATATGACACCGAAAATTGAAATAAGAATAAATTTACCTTATACCGGTTTAAATAGACGATCATTCTACCTGTTCGTATAACAATTTCCGGTTCCAACTGTCAGATATTAGAACTACCAACTAATTATTGAAGGCTTTATAATTCAGTCAATTTCTTGAGCCCATAAATTAATTACCATCAATAATTATCCATTTGTTACTTTGGTTACATATTAGTATATTAGATATTAATATATCAGAATTTGAAATAAATATCTCAAATAATTAAAAAATACCCTGACAGATAACTCACACCTACAACAATTTCAAATAAAAAATAAAAAACTTTGTAAACTTATTATACATTTGATTATAAAATGTACATGTTCAGTTGCCAAAGAATTACTTTAATTTGTTCAGTAATTTGGACATTAGACTGAGTTAGTTATATTGTAGGATGTATTTCAATTATCCATATTGTTACATTAAATTTGATTAATTAAAGATTGTTAAAGTATGCCAATATTAAACACATCAATTTACTTTTGATATCTAAATTGAAACAATTTTATAGACATTCATTAATAACAGCATATTTCATAAAACTAGATAACTTAACTTACAGTATTGAGAAACAGAAGAAGAACTGTCACATGCTAACCTACATCTGTCAAATTTACCACTAAAATCTAATAGATAAAACATAAAAAAACTCATTGTGCCCAAGACTGCGATGTAGTGCATTAAAGCCCTTCCCCCTTTTTAAATTCAATGTTTGTTTCGTCCCTTCTAAGTGTTTTCTGTTTTAGTGTGTTTAAATTATCCTTAATTGTTTGTATTTTAATATTTTATTTACTTGACTTTCCAATAATTAACTCATTGCCAATAGAACTTTATCAAAGTAATTTGATAACTACAAGTTGGAAAATAATTGCACACCCACACAATTTTTACATTTTTACATCTACACTTATTCATTGTCATAAAACTGTCACCTTCATAAAACAATTACTCAATAAATAACACACATTTCAAAAATATATCTCTGGAATAAGTATAAATAGCCTTTAATAACACAATAGTATATTACATCACTTACATTTAACAAACAATCTCACACATATCTCAAATTCATTGGATCAAATCTATCTCCTCAAGAACTTCCCGTTTACTGTCAAACAACTGCAATAATAGAATTGAGTTCTCCATTCAACAATATAAAGTAGTTTCAAACATGTTCTACCATCCATCTATTAATAGAGTACCGGCATGTAAGTAATGTTTATTTTATTTATTTATTTGCTCATTTATTAATTTATTACAATCGAAGAGACTATTTTATAACAATTTGTGGGCCTTACCTTGTCTGTTTAACCTTTTTAAAAAATTTTATACCTTTTATTCAACTTACTCATTTAAATAAAACCACAGACATGTAATATTGGCATAATTATTGTAATTTACAACACCTACTTTGTTTATCGTTATTAGACAACACCCTAATATGGGTTTTTATTATTTCAGCATTTGTTTAACTTTGTATCGAGACCTGAGGATGCTTTGCATATTGTAGAAAGCGAAACCGGTCGTCTGATAGTTAAATTAAATTGATTGTGAGTAAGTCTTATTTATTATTTCTTTACCTATTTGAAATGGACTCACACAAGCAACACATTCATAATTTGAATAAAAGTTACCTTTATTTTTCACTATTGATAACCGGAACAAACAGAAACCATTTTCATAATCTGGAATGAAGATCCAACGTAGATGGGCTGGATCAAACAAGAAAAACGACAACAAAGCTGTGGGACATCCTATATACAGCTTCAAAATTATACCATGTTCTGGTATACTACACAAATTATTTTTTAACTGCTACATATTCCAAAAACAGAAGACAACAAATTCGACGTATGAATTTGTGGATCCATACTTGCAATCCACACAGCGAACTGCTCTTCTACCCAAGCATGAATTTAGATTCATACCTCACACTAGGAAGGCCCAAGTATGAATTTAGATCTATACCCAACGAAGAATAATTAGACTATACCCAACGAAGACCCAAGTATGAATTAAGATTCACACCTAACACTTCGATTACCAAGTATGAATGACGAATTTAAAAATTTCGTTCCTAACTTGAAAATAAAACAAACGCTGACATAACAAAACACAACGAAATTAAAGTAAATATCTTGAAAAAAATAAACAACTCTAAAATGGTTTACATTAATCTCCAGCAATGCTAAGACAATTATTGAAAACACTTTTGCGTATTTTAAACTTGAAAGATACGAACTAACAAACATGGAAAAAATTCTTCGTTTTATTTTTTAAACATATATGAGGAGATTTCTAATATATTTCCTATACGAGGAGATTTCAATATACTTCAAAGAATCAATGAAATTGAAAATGCTACAACTTTAACGATACTATTTCAAAAACTATTCATATTTTTTAGGTTGTTTTCAGAATTTATGGGGTGAATAGAAACACATAATTTTTACTGTTTCTATTCACCCCACAAGAAAATTGTAATACTAAGGGCCGGTTTCACCAACAACGAATAAATCGCTGAATAGTTATTGGTCGATTAAAATTTAATAGTCGGTTATATTTTATTTCGTTTCAATAGCTATTTGTGAGCGACAGTTAGTTATTCATCGAATAAATTCTACTGCAATGATTTTTCCACTAACTGTACTCGTGAGCGCACGCGCATTGCATTTATTTACCATTGTATTAACTGCAATCACATACATACATAACCCTATATTTGTTATTTGTTGATCTTCATCAGAGTACATAAATAAAAATTTTTATTTTATTATTAAAATGGATAAAAAACGCGAAAGAAGCAAGAATTATTTGGAGGAGGAAAAAGAAAATTTAATTTCAATAATAGAAAAATACATCCACATTATTGAAAACAAAAAAACCGACAGTGTGTGGTCAAAACAAAAGCATTTAACATGGGAAAAAATTGCGTTGGAATATAACAGCACATGTAAAACTGGCATTCGAAGTGGAATGCAGTTAAAACTATTATACGAGGGACTGAAAAAGAAGCTTAAAAAACAAAAAGCTGATGATAAGGTAGGTAGTATAAAATTATTTGTTGACTTAATTACTATTTAACTGGGAATAAGCTACAATTAAAGGTTAAAATATGTTTATTGACGTTTCAATTTCCACTTCGGAAATCGTTCTATAATAATCCCAGTTAAATAGTAATTAATTTATAATGCCACAAGAAAATAGCTTTAGAACAATATTTGTTGACAGTTGAAAAAATGAATGATAACAAATTGCAATTTTTACAGGTTCAGACATATATCACAGGAGGTGGTACGAAGGTACCAATTATAAAACCACAAGATGAACGCATGCTTGCCATTATGGGACCTCAACTAGTCCCAATTGAAAATATGTATGATAGTAATAACATACCTGATGTTATTTATCAAGGTAAGATTTAATATTATTTGAAAAAATAAAATAGTCAAGATTAAATAACATCTAACTAATTAAACACTATACAGGCCACAATTATGTTTACATTGTTTCTGCAATTACAAATTGATTTTAATAATATAAATGCATTGATCCTTATTTTGCTTACAGATGATATAAGCAAGTGCGATAATGAAGATAATGTATCAGCAATACCACCATGCAGTATGGAGGAGATTGCCAGCACTTCCACCTGCAGTGTCTTACCAAATATAATAATTAGAGGTAATAATATAATTTTAAACACTATAAATGCCAGTCTAATAAATTTTACTTATAGATAATGTGTCAACCCCAAAAAAAAGAGATTGGGCAACTGCTAATACTACCCCTTCAGATTTTATTCAAGGTAAGATTTAATATCATTGTACCTCAATACTATATTTGCTAAAATCTAATAGTGTCCAATGTATGTCAGACTAAACATTTGAGTAATTACAATAAGCTGGTTGTTTCTATATTTAAAAAAGTAGAGCATGGCATAGGGGATAAGCCCCTTCTAGATCCGTTAGGACTCCAGGTTGATCCGAAGGATATTAAACTATCAATATTTATTGTCCTATATACAAACTAGAGGGGGCATTATTTTTCAAAGAAGTAAAACAAAATTAATTTAGGAATTGTTTTAATTCAGTTGACAACTTTAGTAAAAACACATTTGAAATACTGTTATTAAAATCAACAAGGAAAAATTTATTTTCTGTAGTAGACTATATACTATCCCAAACATTTTGTGGTAAAAATCTTTTATAAAAGGTATATTATTTAAAAAATGTTTTGGCCTAAATTACAGAACATTTTTTAAATCAATATTCTGTTTAGTGCTACTACAAGGTATACGTGTTTAAAGCCACAAAATAGATTTAAATATTATTAAATTGGTTTAGATTACATAATTGCTAATAATTTTATAGGATCTTAATAATAAGGATAAGTTTTAAGAAGATTCACTTCATGGCAACGTAAACTCCCACATGACTTACTAGTCTAGAGATGTGTTCTCCATTTGGATCTTGGGTAGCAACTTTAAACATCCTTTAAATTAGCAGCAAATATATAATCTAATACCAATTTAAAGTATATGCTGCCATGAATTTAGTGGCTTTAAACATTTATACCTTGTAGCAGCAATTAAGATCGAATATTTATTCTGAAAACATTCTGTGCTTTAGCTTGAAAGGGTTTTTAAATAAATCTAAAATTTTATTTACATATTTATTATCTAGTATTCTATATATTGTTATGATATGTAAAATGTAGAAAAATATTGGTTTGATTAAAATATTTCAAAGTTCAAAAACATTAAAATAATTCAGATAAGTAGGATAATAACCAACAAACATTTCGAAGAAAGAAAGTTTTTAAATTTTTGGATTACCTGTATTAAACAAAATGTAAGCTATGCATAAATTATTTCCTTTGTTATACTATACTTGAGTGACCCGCATAATTTTAAGTGAAATCCAAAGAACAATTGAACCGGGTTTTCCAAATACATTAACGCAGCGATTAAAGACAATAGAAGAGATTTTAGAAAGAGGTTTTTGTTAGTTTTTAAGAATTGTAGAAAAATATTATTTGTAAATAAGTTTTAGGAAATTTTATAATTATAGGTAAAAAGTTGTTTGTTATCGAAATGAAAAAATGGGGAAATTGTGACGAGTTTTGATTGGCGGAGATTGAAAAAGGTGGGATAGGTATGTAGGAATGAAAGTTTAGCTAGATTTCGGAGTGAGAAAAGATAGTCAGTTGGTTTCCAAGGGTGCAAGGCGAACGGCCGTTGTTCTCGGGTAGTTTCCCAGAGGTAGGAAGCAGTAGCAGTGAAAGTTTGTGAGTTTTCGTGTAGTTAGTGTATCTGACAGAAGCTGATCCAGTAAAATATTGTAAGTCATATTTTTCTACTTATATTCCAAGAGTCACTGTTCAGGCCAACGAGAGATTCAGTTTATCGTAAAGAAAAGATATTCCAAGAGTCATTTTTCACTCAGGCCAACGAGAGATTCAGTTTATTGAGAGAAGAAGAAGCTAGCATAATTTGAACGATTCGTGCATTTGAAGGAGATCATTAAGGACGATATACTTGCAATAATTTGTTGTAAGATTGCTGATTACCTAGGGAGCGGCCACGAGTAAATAATATAGTCTACAAATAACAAGGATTTGGACCACTCATCATCAGAGAGAGATAGTTTTGTTTTCTGCAGTTTTTCTTTCATTGATAACACAATTTTTACACTTAATTTAGAAAGGATATAAATATTTTGATTAGGAGAGTTAGAATAGTTTGGGATTTTGAGATTTCAATTAATATTGTTTGTACCATTAATTTTGATTGTTCACGTACGTAGAACAAAAATTTGAGAATCATTATATGAGATTTTGTTTATGGAAAACTTTTGAGTGTGAATTATTTCATTATTTTTATTTCAATATATAGTGTTAGATCATATGTGTTTTTTATTATTCCGGTATTCTTTGGACCTTACCTTTCACATGTATAGCATAGATATTGAAGCACGAATTAACCCTGAGATAAAAGAATTAAAATGTGATAAAGTCATAATCATATCATTTAATAATTTTAATTAATCAAAAAATTAATTAGCTAATTATTGCTTGGCGCACCAAGACTTTAAATATCACAATAATATATATATATATATAATATATATAATATATATATATATATAATATATATATATATATATATAATATATATATATATATATATATATATATATATATATATATATATACAAATTTATATTTTTTACAGATGAAAAAGATTCATCACAAGGTGGGTGTTTAGCTGCAAAAACACCAAAAATAAAGAAAAAAAGTACGGAATCTGATGATTTGATGGAACTAAAGAAGAAAGTGCAGTTGAGGAAACTCGAAATACTTAAAATTGTGAAGGAAAAGGAAATAGTGGAATTAGATCTTAAAAGAATAGATTTAGAAATAAAAAAAACTGATTTGGAAATTAAAAAAACTGATTTGGAAATTAAAAAAAAAGACTTATTAAATAAATAAATAGATACTTTCTAAGTTAGAAAATGTGTTTTCTTTATAATTAAATATTCTTTATACAATCTGTGCATAAGTAGTTGTATACATTATATAAATTAAACTACCAAACAATTATTTACAATAAACTTAAAATCTATGTAAATATTGTCAACTATGTCAACATATTGACAGAACACAAAACTGATCTTAAATAAATATATACTTCCTGCATTAGAAAATGTGTTTTGTTTATAATTAAATACTCTTTTATTTTCAAGTCGGGCCCGTAAGTGGGAATCATTAAAAATTGTGGAGTCATGTACGCTTCCAGGCCACCGAGCAACTATATCACTGAATTTTAGTTGGGCATTGCATGTTGCTTGAACATTAATTGAAAACCATCCTTTCCTATTTCTATATAACTCACCATGCTCTCCTCCAGGGGCTTGTATTTTGATATGTGTGCAATCTATCGCTCCAAGAACCCTCGGAAATCTTGAAGTTGGTAGAAATCATTTTGCACCTTATTTAATTCATTGCGGTTCTTGGGCATTTGTATAAACCGAGGACGTAATAAAGCAATGTAATGAGATACTTTTCTCACAATTCGGCAGACTGTTGCCTTCGAAACATTAAAATGATCTCCAGTACATATTTGAAATGATCCTGTAGCATAAAAACGAAGAGTAATTAACAATTGATTTCGCACATCGATGGGTCTGTTTCTGTTGCTTACAGGATGCAATTGGTCACCGATCAGGTGTAGTAACTCATCTATTGAAGTTTTAGATAATCTAAACCTAGTTTTAAAATCTACATCATCAAATTCAATAAATGGGTTTCTTCTCTGCAGCAACAAGCGTTGTCTTCTCTCTTGTTGCACATTTCCATCTTCATCAGAGGATGATGAGGATGATGATAATAATCTAAAATAAATATATATATATATATATATATATATATATATATATATATATATATATATATATAAACAAAATTAAAATCGTCTAATATAATCACGTTTACCTGCAATACATTTTTAATAATTTCTAGTTTAACTGACGAATTTTATTTATTATGATTTTTAAAGTGAGGTTAGCTTGTCAATTTATTCTAAGAATAAATATTTATTTGACCGATAATGAACGAATAACTTATTTTGAGTTTATTCGTAGAATAAGTGTTATTTGACGTTGGTGAAACGCAGAGGTGTCAGTTTTATTCGTCGAATAACTTTATTCATTGAATAGACTGCTATTTGTCGTTGGTGAAACCGGCCCTAAATCACATTTATACTAGATAAAATAGTGTGTTATATATTTATGTTAGACACTTAAATGGCATAGCTGTTTTGTTTCAGGGCCCTGTAAAATGCCAAGAAAGTACAAACCGGTGGTTAGAGGGGGCTACAAAAATAATGATCCAAAAATAATCGAAAATGCACTTTCTGACATACAGAAGGGACTAAGCCTTCGGAATTCTGCTGGGAAACATGGTTTGCATTATAGTATTATATATCGGCACTTGAAAAGAGGCCTCAATGTGAAGAAACACGGTGGTCAGACAGCTTTATCTCTCGAAGAAGAACAACTGTTTGTTGAAAGGCTGAAGATATGTGGCGAATGGGGCTATCCTATTGACACTTCAACTCTACGACTCCTTATAAAAGATTTCTTAAACCGAAGAGGGAAAGAAGTTAAGAGGTTTAAAGATAACCTTCCTGGCCGTGAGAATGTGTCAGAATATTAAACGATCAAGAGCTGGTGTGACACCAGAAACAATTAACAACTATTTTGATGAACTGACAAATGAATTAAAGGATGTGCCCTTATCTAATATTGTTCACTATAATGAGACGAACCTAAGTGATGACATCTACGTCTGTGATGTTTGCAGCCGCTGCTGATGGCACTATTTTACCCCCTTACGTAGTCTATAAGGCATTGCACTTGTACCAAAGCTGGCCAAAAAACGCCAGGTACAACCGAATAAACTCTGGTTGGTTTGATTCCTTCTGCTTCGAAGATTGGGTACTGACAGTTGCTCTTCCATACCCGAAAAAACAAACGGGTCGAAAATTTCTGATTGGGGACAATTTGTCTTCCCATTTATCAGTTGAATCTGTGAAGTTGTGTAAAGACAATGCTATCAATTTTATTTTTCTCCCAGCTAACTCCACCCACCTGACACAACCTCTGGACGTGGCATTTTTTCGGCCATTGAAAGCAACATGGCGACAGATTCTCGAAGAGTGGAAAAAGGGCCCAGGAAGAGCGGAAGCAACTGTTCCTAAGGATAAATTTCCAATGTTATTGAAAACAGTTGTGTGATTCATTGAAGAAAGAAAATGTGATCGTCGGTTTTAAGAAGTGCGGTATAGCGCCTCTAAATAGGAACAAAATGTTGTCTATGCTTCCACAAATTATTGATAAAGAGGAAAACCAAAATCCCGAAAACATTCAGAAGAACCACGAAGCTGTTGACAATAGTTTCAAAGAGCTCCTTCATAGTCTTAGAGAAGATCAGACTCCTAAGATAAGGAAAAAGAGAACCAAAGTTAATGTGAAACCCGGCAAAAGTATCAGTGTTGAGGACTTTGTCGACGACGATGAGAACTTAAATCCCCAAACTTCACTTGCTAGTGACCAAAACCCATGTTCCTCCAAACAGGTTCAGCCAAATAAAAGCCGAAAGCGTGTGGAGTTATCATCAGAAGATGAAGATGACTTTTCAGTGCAGGATACTGACTCTTCAGATGCCCCTGATCTAGATGAAAGTACCGACAAGGCCTCAGGCGTAAACCTCGTCATCAATGAAGATGACTACATGTTAGTCAAAGTTTATGGTAAAAAAAAAACATCTTTTAGATGTTATATATGCAAGGTTGCTTTCCTTGAAGAGGACGGTTTCGTTGGAATATTTTGAAAAGAGTGCAACAAACTAATAAGTTTACCATAACTGAAGAAGAATCACTTGTCTCCAGAAACGACGTCATCCTAAAACTATACTCCCCAGTATTTTCCTCAAGTACGCGATTTAAAGACATGATATTTTTCGAAGATGACCTGTCTAATTTCACAATTTATTAATCATTATTTAATCTTATTAAATACGATTTGTTTACTTAGTGTCGAGTTAATACTTAAGTAATATGTTTATTTTAAAAATCCCCTTTTGTAATCAGCGTATCGTCTCTCCGGCTAAGGGCTTGTGAAAGCAATTAATTTTAATGACTTTCGTCTGAGAATGTAGGGTATTGAATTTCATATAGTATAAGAATATATTCAATTTGTTTAGAGTTAGTTTTTAGTCGAATTTATACCACCGACCGAAGGAAACTGAATAAAACTTTTAAAGTCACATTTGTGTATTTTAATACGAAAGTAATTTTTGTAATAGAAATTTAATTTTGTATTCTTTCGAACCAGGAGTCTCTTGCGATAATTAATCGTAGGACATTCCAAACGTAACATTTGGCCATTCCAATAACAACTTGATGTTATTGGGATAACCGACCCTGTAGAAAAAATGACACGAGAGGTGGCAGCCAAAGAGGCTAAGAATTTTTTCTATGAGACTGTACGATGTGACAGCGAAGGCAAGTAATATGTTTATTTTAAAAATCCCCTTTTGTAATCAGCGTATCGTCTCTCCGGCTAAGGGCTTGTGAAAGCAATTAATTTTAATGACTTTCGTCTGAGAATGTAGGGTATTGAATTTCATATAGTATAAGAATATATTCAATTTGTTTAGAGTTAGTTTTTAGTCGAATTTATACCACCGAACCGAAGGAAACTGAATAAAACTTTTAAAGTCACATTTGTGTATTTTAATACGAAAGTAATTTTTGTAATAGAAATTTAATTTTGTATTCTTTCGAACCAGGAGTCTCTTGCGATAATTAATCGTAGGACATTCCAAACGTAACATTTGGCGACCGTGACAGGACTTATATACGGGTGTGCTTAAAAGTTAGTTATTTTCGTTTATTTTAGTGCAAACTTTTTTCCGGCGAATAATTTTGTTTTTGTCGTGAGGCTCGGCCAAAGTTAACCTTTTTAAGCGAAAAAATGGAATCAGTTAAAAAACGCAGAACGGTTCTTCGTAGTGCATTTACGAAAGTTGCTACTGTTTTGGACAGTTTGTTAGCTCAACCGGTGGACATTCGACCCTGGCAGAATATTAGCGTACAGTGGGAACTTTTACAAGTAAAGTACAATGAGCTTTGTGAAGTGGAAAGTGCGGTACTTGAAAGTATGTTGGAAGAAGCTTCCGAAGAAGAATTAATCAGTGAGATGGAGACAAAAGATAAATATAGTGCAAGGTACTTTGAACTTAAGTACAAATGTGATGACAGACCAGGTTCAGTAAGTTCAGAGTCATCAAGTATAAAAGGTAAGCGCAAATTTAAATTACCTCCAATCGAATTCAAGAAATTTAATGGAGACTTGAAAGATTGGCTTCCTTTTTGGTCACAGTTCAAAGTAGTGCATGACGATCCATCAATTGATTTGACTGATAAGATAGCTTATTTGAGACAAGCCACTGTAGAGTCTAGTAAGGCCAGACGATTAGTGGAGAGTTTTCCTGCAGTAGCCGACAATTACTCAAAAATTATCCAGAGTTTGCAGTCTAGGTTTGGCAGAGAGGATCTCCAGATTGAAGTTTATATTAGAGAGCTCTTAAAGTTAATTTTGAGTCGAGTTTCTAGTAGTTCTTGTAATATTTCTGCTCTTTATGATATGATTGAAAGTCAACTTCGTTCACTTGAGACCTTAGGCATAACTGCTGACAAGTATGCGGCGATATTGTATCCTCTTATCGAGTCATGTTTGCCAGAAGATATGATTCGACTATGGCATAGATCTTCACAGTTTTTAAGGCCTTATGTTTCCGGGTCCATGGAAAATATCGCAGAAACGGCAGAGGTTACAACTTTAGAAACAAGATTGGATGGGCTAATGAGCTTTTTACAAAGTGAAGTTCAAAATGAACAAAAAATTGATTTAGCAACGGAAGGTTTT